AAAAAAAAAAAAAAAAAAAAAAAAAAAAAAAACTTTTGCCACACTTCATTCATTTTCTGAAAAGAAAGCTTTTACCACAACAAAAAAACAAAAAATGAAAGGCGATTTTTGGGCGATTTGTGAGGCGATTTGGCAGTTATTTTTCTCTATCAGTTTTTCCATTGAAACTGCTTCTTTTCGAGCAGTTTCTTCCGATTTCGACTCATTGAGGGAGCAGTTCTTCGTAGATTTCTCGGATGAGTCATCCATCTCCGTAGTGGATGCACCCCACTATGATGATTTTAAGGATTCCCTGTATATATATAGGGATAAAGGATCGAGTAGGACTCACCGTTCTACGTCTTTACTCCAGAAACTTGTCCTTCTTCGATTTGATCAATCTCTATTCATTATGGCGGATAATTTGAGAAGAGCAATTCAGGATCTCACTTTGGGCATTGAAGATGAACCTGTTACCCTGTCGCCGGAGGTGTGTTACGAAGCAAGAAGGGCTACTCAATTCTCTTTGATGGGGCGCCCAACTATTCTGCGTAAGCAAAACCTCCGCGCTATGATGACTCAACTCCCTAAGATGTGGGGTCTTACTGGTGTGGTGTCGGGGAGAATTGTGGAGAAACGAAAGTTTCAATTTGTTTTTCCGTCCGAAGAGTTGTTGCAGTCAGTCTTGACGCGTGGTCCTTGGGCCTTTCATGACCGAATGCTTATCATCAACCGGTGGAATCCTACTCTGGAGGATGCCCATTTGAATCATATTCCGTTTTGGGTTCAGATCCGGGGGATCCCCTTGGAGTTTCTGACCTCTTCAATGATTCGAAGTATTGGTGATAAAATTGGAGAGGTTATCACGGTGGATTTCAAACCAGAGTCTCAAGGTGATGTGGAGTTTGTCCGAGTTCAGTTCAACTGGGATGTCTCTAAGCCGTTGCGGTTCCAGAGAAACTTCCAGTTCTACCCTGGAATTAATACGCTCCTGAAGTTTAGGTATGAGAGGCTACGTGGGTTTTGTGAGGATTGTGGGATGTTGACTCATGATACAGGCGAGTGTATTCCTGCAGAGGAAATTCAAGATGCTAACAATGATGATGAAGACAACGATGACGATGAGGATCACCAGGAGGAAGAAGATGATGTTATGCCCGAGTGTGAAGAGAATGCTCAGGATCCTCCTGCTAATTATGGTGGTGATGTTTCTACCGGTCAGAATTCTAATCTGGCTCTTTTAGCCCATGTTCAGTCTCAGGCTTCACACGATTCTACTGGTGAAGAAATTGATTTGGAGTTAGCATCACAAAGATTTACAAGAAAACGAAAGGCGGTTGAAGGTGCCTGGAATATCACTTGTGAGGTCCCGTTGAAAGGAAGTAAGGGTAAAGCTAAGGCTATGGATGTGGAGGAGGGAGATAATGTTGCTTTGGAAGTGGAGGAGATGTGGGATTCTGAGTTTACGTTTGGTCAGTACGGCTCTTTCTTACAGTCTGCCACTATTCAGGAGGTGAGGCTACATGAAGAAGGCAATTTACTTCCGGGGAGCTCGTCTGGGAAGAAGTCTAGAGTGGAGGCGAGTTTCATGGATAAGTTTCCTGTGGGACAGCTACATTTGGTGGGAAACATTGACGGTTTGAAACAGCTTCAAGCAGATTATGATGATGAATTTGAGCAAGAGAATGAAGCTACTTTGGACAGAGGCGCGGTGGGCCCGGTACCACCAGAGGTTCCATGAGAGTTGAGGTGTGGAACTGTCGAGGCTTGGGGCAACGCCTGACAGTTCGACGTCTTAAGGAGTTACAGAGGTTGTATCTCCCAGATTTGTTGTTCCTCATTGAAACCAAAAATCAGAATGATTATGTAAGAGATATTGCAGTTTATCTAGGTTATGATCAGATGATTCTGGTTCCCCCTGTAGGTCTAAGTGGGGGTCTTGCTGTTGTATGGAAGAATTATGTTTCTGTTTCATGTATCTCAAGTGATGTACGTCTTGTGGATCTTCAAGTGGAATATAAAGCTTTTAAGTTTTATTTGTCCTGTGTATATGGGAATCCCATCCCAAAATATCGACAACATCTTTGGGAAAGAATTCAGAGATTGGCAGTTTCCAGGGTTGGTCCTTGGGTTTTATGTGGTGATTTTAATGAGATAACAAATCCTGCTGAGAAGAAAGGAGGAAGAACTAGATCTCAGAGAAGTTCAGAGAGTTTTAACACTATGATTGAAGTGTGTGATCTGAGAGATTTGCCATCTAAAGGAAACAAGTTTAGCTGGGTGGGTCGTAGACGAAGAGAGATCATCGAATGCTGTCTTGACAGGGTGTTGGTAAATTCAGAATGGCTTAATAAATATCCTAACTCTGAAACGGAATACCTGGAGATCGCAGAATCAGACCATCGACCAATGATTATAACAATTGATTATCAACAGCGAAGAAGAAAAGGATGGTTCTGTTATGATAAGAGGTTATATGATCATGAAGATTTTGTAAATACAGTGTCAGAAGCTTGGAGAGATACTGCTCGATATGATAAATGGATGAGGAAACTGGATCATTGTCGTGGAGTTATGATTTCTTGGAAAAGAAGTAATGTTACAAATGCTGCAGTACGTATTCAAGAACTTCGAACCCTCATTGATCAAGAAATTCGAAATGTCTCCACCTCTACGGACTATATCAACTTGCTCAGACAAAAACTAAATGCTGCATATGCTGATGAAGAGGAATATTGGAGATTAAAGAGTCGAAATCGATGGCTTAATTTGGGAGATCGTAGTTCACGTTTCTTTCACAGTGTAACGAAGATGCGGAAAAAACAGAACCAAATTATGAAGATGCAAGACAAGCATGGTACTTTTCATTCTCAGGACGAGACAATAGGAAAGATTGCTGAGGAGTATTTTTTGGAGATGTTTAGTACTTCAGATACTACTCCCTTATCAGATTTCCTGCCACATATTCAACCTAAGATCACTCCTAATATGAACAATATGTTGCTCCGACCTGTTACTGATGATGAGATATATCAAGCTCTTTTATTAATTGGGTCGGATCGTGCTCCTAGGCCGGACGGATTCACAGCTGCGTTTTATAAACAATTTTGGGATGTCATTAGTCGAGATGTGTGCCTAATGATCAAGGAGTTTTTTGAAACTGGAGTTATGCAACCTAAGATAAACCATACCAATATTTGTCTTATTCAGAAATCAACAGATGCTGTTTCTATGAGAGATTATCGCCCGATCAGTCTTTGCACAGTGGCTTACAAGTTAATATCGAAGATCTTGTGTCTACGAATGCAGGGGGTTCTAACATCTGTGATCTCTGAATCTCAAGCAGCATTTGTCCCAGGAAGACAGATTTCAGATAATATTTTAGTTGCTCATGAACTTATTCATGCTCTCAAGACCAAGAAGGACTGTTCAGAGAAGTATATGGCTATCAAAACCGATATAAGCAAGGCTTATGATCGTGTGGAATGGAAGTTTTTGGAAGATATTATGACTAAGCTTGGTTTTGACCAGAGGTGGATTCAAGTCATTATGACGTGTGTATCCTCAGTTTCCTACTCGGTTTTAATCAATGGTTCTGCCTACGGGAACTTTAAACCTTCAAGGGGAATTCGACAGGGGGATTCATTATCTCCTTATCTCTTTCTCTTGTGTGCTGAAGCTTTAAGTCAAATGTTGGATACTGCTCAACGGATGAATCTTTTCCAAGGAATGAAGCTAGCACGCCACTGCCCGACGATTTCGCATCTGCTGTTTGCTGATGACTCTTTGTTTTTTGTTCAAGCTGATCAAGCAAATGCGCAAAGTATGTCGATCATTTTGAAGAATTATGAGTCTGCTTCAGGCCAAAAAGTTAACCAGTCAAAGTCATCAATTATTTTTGGGTCTAAAGTGTCTCCAGACAAGTGTGCAAGCATTCAACAGATTATGAATATTCATCAAACAGGGGGAGATGGTAAGTATTTGGGTCTCCCTGAACAGTTTAGTAGGAGTAAGTGCAATGATTTCAAAGAGGTGGTCGATACTGTGAAGGCTCAAGTGGCAACCTGGTATAATCAGTTCTTATCACCTGCTGGAAAAGAGATTATGATAAAATCTGTCCTACAAGCTAAGCCAATATTTTCTATGTCCTGTTTCTTGATGCCTAAGTCCATATGCGATGATATCAACTCTATTTTGTCTGAATTCTGGTGGGGTACTAATGTGGAGAAGCGTAAAATATCTTGGGTATCATGGAAAAGGCTCTGTCTTCCTAAGTCTGAAGGTGGAATGGGATTCCGTGATCTACACGCATTCAACAAGGCCCTCCTAGGAAAACAAGCTTGGCGGGTCTTCAAAAATCCTTCTTCTTTGTTGAGCAGATTATATAAAGGACGATATCACTATTCGACGACATTCTTACAGTCGTCGAATATAACTCAGGCTTCATATGGATGGAAATCCATTCAGGTCGGTAAAGAGTTATTAAAAAAGGGTCTCTGCACCCTTATTGCTAATGGAAATCTAACTAATGTTTGGTCGGATAATTGGATCCCTACGTTGCCTCCAAGGAAACTACTATATCCAACAACACATCCTAATATGTTGGTCTCGGAGTTAGTTTCAGGTGATTGCTCTTGGAATGTTCCTTTGATGCAGAGGCTTTTCTCTCCTGAAGATTCTATGCTTATCCAAAGCATCAAATTGTCGAGATATGCAACGCAGGATCAGTACATATGGCCTTTCACAAAGAATATGGAGTATTCTGTTAAATCGGGTTATTGGGCAGCAACACATTATTTCTTGGAGAATGAAAATATTACTCCTCCTGAAGGCTCTGTGGTTCTGAAAGAGAAGGTATGGAAGTTAAATATAATCCCAAAGATTAAACATTTTGTCTGGAAGGCTCTGTCTGGTGCTCTTGCTACATATGTTCAGCTATGTACAAGAGGTATTAATCTAGATCCGACTTGTCAACGATGCTGTCTTGATGAAGAAACGGTCAATCATGCGTTATTTACATGTCCTTATGCCTTTGCTACTTGGAGATGCTCTAACATACCGATTTCGTCACAGTTTAGTGAGGTCTTGGAAGAAAATATCTCGTTAATGTTTCAGTTTGCAAAAGATAGTGGGGAGGATAGTCATATACAGTTGCTTCCGTTTTGGGTCTTGTGGTTTGTTTGGAAATCTAGGAATGAGTTTCTATTCAATAAAAGAAATGATCAGCCAATGGTTGATGCTAACAGAGCTTTCCAAGCTTGCCAGGAATGGAGAATTCAAGTTCTTAATAAGCGATTTTGTGCTACACCTACTGTCCGGTTACCTTATTGGAACCCTCCTCCTGAGGGATGGCTAAAATGCAATTTTGATTGTAGCTTCAAAGATTCTAATGAGTATGTGGGTTTGGGATGGATTCTTCGTAATGCCGATGGCCAATACATGGGTTCAGCTCAAATGAAAATGCAAAGGAGTGAAGTTATGAATGCTTTCCAAGGAGAAGCTTATGCTTTTAAGTTTGCTCTGCAACAGATTTGGCTAAAGGGATGGAGAGCTGTTTGGTTCGAAAGTGATAATTTGGAGTTGGTTAAGACTATCAATACGTCATGTGTACATGTGGAGCTTGGGAATTTGATATTTGATATTCGACATTGGATGGAGAAGCTTCCACTCTGCTCTCTTGATCACGTTAACCGCGAAAGGAATCAAGCTGCAGACGTTCTCTCAAGAAAAGCTTTGGAAATGGATGACTTGTTCTGTTTTTATCTTATTCCCCCTGTCTGGTTAATTGATCTATTGTATTATCCTTATACAGTTTAACTATCAATAAGAATGTTGTTAAAAAAAAAAAAAGAAAGCTTTTACCACATTTAATTCATTTTTTCCGAGATTAGGACATGCTTTTGAGAGTTATATATTACTGTTTTTGTTTATAGGAACTAATCAAACCATCCATATCCTCTTCTTGGACATCATTCCAGTTCTACAAGTTACATGAATTGTGTTGGATCGATAACTCAATGAAACAAGAAAACATTAATTCCCTGATCTCTTTTCTCAAGCTTTGCCCTTCAATCGAACGCATCTTCATTACTGTAAGTGTTAAGTAACTAAAACATTTGTTTGTTTCAAAAAAAAAAAAAAACTAAAACATTTGTTAGTTTGTGCCTTTTGAGTTCATATTCTAATAACGGCATTTATTTTTGGAGATCGATTCGAATACTTATAGTTCAAAAGAAGAAACTAGTGTTGATGCTGACCATTGGAGCAAGCATGCTAGAACACTAAAGCACTTAAAAATTGTCAAGTTGGAAGGATCAAAGAGAGAAGAGGATAAGAATCAACTAATATTGGCTATGCAGAAGATAGTCAATATCGATCAGCCTCTGCTTATACTGTCTTAACTACGATTAGGAACGTGAGCGACGAATGATTTTATGTCTAAAGATACACGCATGAACATGCTTTAATTAGGTTGCTGTCACACGTGGGTTTATATTTCTTGCATTACAAGAGAATCTCGTCAAATAAAAGTCTAACTTGGCTGTTTTGTCAGGATTCACCGATTAATGATGTTTACCAGTACCTATTATTATAATGTGTACTATGATAAATGCTTAAAAACATTGATGTTGGCAACAAAAACACCAACGTTGATTGCGTAAATGTATTATAGTAGTGTTAATTGGTAATTATTTCTCATTTATTTAATTTTTTGAACTTCATTTCTCATGTACTAGCAACTTTAGCATATAATGACCAAAATATTTAGTTTAGGTGATATATCGTTTTCAATCTATGCACGTAGAATTTGTTTCTTGACCTGTTCAATAGGGGCATGTGTGGAAGCTTCATTTGTCAACCAAAGGAAAGCGTACAGGACGCACGTTCATCAAGTTTTGATCACTGGACAATGGACATAGCAAGAGGAGCATTTCTCTGAACAGAGATATCGCATCCTCTCTGTCAACCCGTTTTGTGTATAACCCGAGATCATAGCGTTCCAAGACGCCAAGCTTTTGTGCGTACACTCATCAAAAACCTTCCTGGCTGATTCCATCTCGTTTAATTTACTGTAAACCGTGGTCAATGCGGTTGGAACAGATTCATGAGGACATTGAAGAGGAACACGTCGGGTTTTTCGACGAAGAGGACGAGGTTTGCGAGCGTAGTGAATGGCGCCGAGGTCAGAGAGCTGTTTTGTGAGTAAGTGGATGTTGTTTTGGAAGCCATGGAGAATGATCTGAGTGTGTGGGTTTGGGAGAGGTGAGAGATGGAAGATGATGTTTTGAAGATGATGTTCTTGTTGTTTAAACGATTTGACTATTTTGTGTTCTGCCGTTCTTATTTAATCATTTTGCATAGCTGCTGTTAGATTTTTGTTTATGAACAATTCTTAAGTTAGTTTTTCACTTTTTTTTTGTTATGAATCGTTAAACTAATCGAGACTCTATATAAATAAAACGCCTCAAAGAAACCTTACATTAGAGTTTACATGTTAAACCTTACACTAGCACTTCTTTATTTGATCTTTGTTTGTTATAAGTCTTTCCCTATGCTAATGTTCCATACCAAAAAAAAAACAAAAAAGCAAAAGACTTCTAACAAACAAAGATCAAATAAAGAAGCGTGGGGAAACCAAAGGAGCTAAATTTGATGCATTAAAATAAAAGTAACCAAAGTTTACATGAGCTATTTAATTTGAGTATTCGAATCAAAATGAGTCTATATACTACTAAAAAAAACCTAATCGCCCATTACATCTATTGAATAAAACCATAAGAAAATACAGTTGCACCTAACTTGACACTCTCAATCTTCTGTGCTGAAGACCTAGCCCCATCCTTACAGATAATGTACAAAAGTGTTGCCTCCATTGATAAAGCTGCATGCAGAGAGCCAAGAAAAATAGAATTAGTAACATTCAAGATTAGTTCATTGCAAGTCAGAGAAAATCTTGAAAATCGTACAGCTGTCTGTTTCGGATAGTTCGCCTCAGCAGCTGTGGGCTCTGCCCGAAAGAGTAGTTGAATCTGACGAGTCCGGGAAGCACACGGGACTATAGACGTTGACCGTCAGCGAAGTTAGTCCAGTCATGATCATCGACGAAGGCACGAGTTTGGAGTAGGTAGAGACCAGGAGCCGGTATAGTGAAATCAGAAAGGGGGAAAACATGGCGGTTCAAGAACAACACATGCATCTCAGCGGCAGTAAGCCAGCGTTCCTCTGAAGCTTCCACGATTTGTCGAACCACTACCAAGAGAAGTTCAAGATTAAAAAGAAACTGAGGAAAATGGAGTTTAAATTGAATTCAACATCTGAGTAGATAAGGAAACAGAGTTGATGATTCAAGAACAGAGTATGCAACAATCTGAAACATAATGAAACAGAGTTGTAGAATATAATTATCAACCTGCAGGTTTTATACGGATTCATCAACTTCAGTTTACTTCGCATAGACCCACATCTACTCAGAAAAAACAATCATAAACAAAGGCTTGATAGAGATTTTCAAAATTTTATTATGTTTGCATTTACGTAAATTTTGTAATTTTCTTATTCTATTTTTTTTCTTACTTTTGGTTCAGCGTGCATGTTTATTCTTGGTGGTAACACAGTTAAACATAACTAGTGAACCTAGTTCTTTGAACTTATGAGTTGCTTTTCAACTTATGAATGTAACTGTAGTTGTAACATAATTAGTGCACCCAGTGCTCTTATAGTTTAATCAATAAAAATGAAATATGAGATATATTTATCAACAAAAAAGTACATAGCCACATTTATATACATTTAGAGGCTCAGCTATATATATATAGCCTTTTGAAAAATATATTTTCACTTCTCGCTTCAATTCTCTCCCTCTCGCGATTTCTCGAAGCACAGAGCCCGAAATTTCTTGGAAGAATACCAAACCAAAACTTGTAAGCTATTTTAAAATTTTAGATGATTTAAAATGCCTTTACAGAATCTTGATATTTTCCTTATTTGATTTTGTGTTGTTGTCTTTTTGGTTCTGCTTATGCCTATGTAGGTTTGGTTAGAACATATTTGCCCACTACGTTTGAGAACAAAAGTGTCTCTTCACATTGTAACCATGTAGAATCTTGAATTATTTTAGTACTTTCAAGCGATTTCTTATAGTTTATTCCATGGATTTGTAACTGGTCATTTAGGCTTATGTTAGCATCTTATTCTCATAATTTCTATTAATTGGATTCAAATACTTAAGATTTTTCATGTTCTCAAAATGGTTTATGATGATAATATTCTTATCATTTGTTACAGGTTAAAATATATATTATCTTTAAGTCTTGAATAACATTTATATTGATCACATATTTACACCACCCTTCGTATTGTTTTTAGCGATTTTCTATTTAGTTGTGACACGCTTTGCATATCAAGAGAAATGTTTGGTTTTTAGAAATATATACAATACTAAACTATACTACTAATATAAGATGATTTGCATAAAACACAAGAATTAATAAATTTTATTTTAGAAAATAATATTATTAATTGTATAAATTTAAAGTTAGAGAACCAATCATAAATAATACAATAAAATATTATTGGTTAATTAATTTTCAGTAAAATTAAAATACATTAAAAATATCAAAATGTTTTATTTTATGGAATGGAGGTAGTACTAATATTCCGGGTAAGCATTTTTTATTGTTCTAAAAATGACATCTTAGGAATGTGTCTTTGAGTGTCCTGGTCCTGGTCAAGGTTGTTGCTGGATGGAAGTGAACAAGAAGCTTTGACTGTTGGATTTAGACAGAGTATCTGTATGATAAGAAATATGTAATAAAGATGAATCAAAGCAATGTTTTAACCTTGAGGGATATAGTTGGTGAGACAAAATTAATTGAGAGTGAGAAACTGCCATAATGGGTAGAACTCGCAAGCCGTATGATGAACAATGGTCATCGACTTAGTTTTACATGTTGTGACCAAAACTAGAGATGGCAATCATTAATCTGGACCGTGAGAACGGTATAGGGACGAGGTTTTTTAGGCCAGCAAATTTGCGGGCCTCACGGGATGGGTCTTTACGGGGTTGGATCTTTTGTGGGACTGGTCGAAACGGGTCTCGTGGGATTATAAGGACCCGTATTTTTTTCTTTATTTTTTTATTTTATCTGAAAAAAGGAAAGAACGAGTGAGAAGAATACGATTCATGTGACTTATCCTGAGAAAACGTAAAGAGCTCGGGCGATAATGCTGATTCGAGCTTCGGTTATAATAACTCAAGCTCTGATGATGACGACTACAGCTCCGACGATGACGATTCGAGCTTTAGTAGTGTTTTGATTTAGTTTTTCTTTTCATTTAATTTAGGATTGACATTTTTAATTTGGTATTTCATTTAATTTAATTTTTAGATTCAGCAAACTAAAACATTGGTTATTACCTTATGAGTTATAAGATAATGAAAAATATCTTCTGCAATTATTTTTATTTTGTATGTTAATATGTTTTGAATGTGATAAAAATAACTACAACTATTGTTTTGAATAAAAAATAAGCAAAACAATGATTGATGAATTATGTCCAATTGAATCGACGACTTAAATTTTATCGTAGAATGGCCTAAAGTGTTTTGGAATGACCTGAATGTTCTGCTGCGTGTATATGGCCCACAAAGGCCTACAAAAAATACGGTGATTGGGCAATTGTTTTCAAGACCACATCCCGCGCGGGACAAACCCATCGTGTCCTACTAGAAGACAAATCTGCAGCGGTACAAGTGAGAAGAGCCCAACTGCCATCTATAACCACATTGTGATCGCATTTGTATGTTTGAGGTTTATAAATAGTTATATGATAATATTGTTAGGAAGCCAGACACACAGAACTTGAATTCAACACTGAACTGTAACAAGAATGTATTATAGAAAAGTTTTGACTACAAGAAACAAAGCCAGAAGTCTGTTTTTATAACTGTAGAGAGGTCGATGAACTTAGATGATGCCAATCTTGTTAGCAACATCTAAAGCATCATAGTCTGGTGTAAGCCTAACGTAAGCCTTCTTCGTTCCATCAGGCCTACAACAACAACAAACAAATACAACAATGTGTCAAATAAACACAATCAAACTTGCAATCCACAAAATAACGAACTCTCACTTGACCTACCTGATGAGAGTGTTGACCTTCTTGGTCTGGATATCATACATCTTCTTAACAGCATCCTTGATCTTCTTCTTGTCGGCACGAATGTCAACAATGAAGACAAGAGTGTTGTTGTCCTCAATCTTCTTCATTGCCGACTCAGTGGTCAATGGATACTTGAGGATACCGTAATGATCCAACTTGTTCCTTGGAGTAGCACTGATTCTTGGGTACTTGGGATCTCTAGCCTTGGTCAAAGTCTTTGGCCTGTGGAAGGTGACCTTAGTCCTAATCTTTTTATCCTTCTTCTTGAAGGCTTGGCCAGATTTGACTGCTTTCGCAGCCTTCAAGGCCTTGGCCTTGGGGTCAGCCTTCTTCGTGGTATCAACTGCATATTACAGAACAACTTAGAATGCTTTGAGAACATAACTTCATACCATCTTAACACTATCTCAACTGATTACTCAATCTACACCTAACGAAACATTATTACAAAAACATGAGTTCCATATTGACATTTGAACACTATCTCAACTAATTACTCTTATAACACCTAACTAAACGTTATTACAAAAACATGAATCAAAGGTAGTGATTAGCGTTTCCGTAACAGTCAAGCTTACTAAAAGATTGACATTCTGAGACTCTAGCAAAGATTCAACAAAGACCCACGTGGAATCTTGTGGCCAAATGGTCAAAGATTGTACCTTTAGCTGGAGACATAGCTCAAGAAGATTCTTCCACTCAAAACCTGTAATAGAAACAAAGACAATCCAATCAGTTCAAATGAAATGTAACACATGGTACAAAACGAGATAATGCTAATGAAGCAGTGAAGAAGACGAACAGACCTGGAGAGGTGTTAAGAAGCTGCAACCCTAACGAAGCTTGTAGCCGCAGACACTTTTATTCTGGTAGTGACGACAATGATAAAAGAGAAGCGAAACCCTAGAATAATTGGGCCTTTTATATTTGAATAGAACTTTTAAAGCCCAATCCGTATTTTATTTATGTGGCCTAAACGATGCCGTTTTAACTTAACCACGTCACGTGATAACAAACCCATTGAGAAGACGCCACGTAAGACATTTGATAAAGACACGACTCATCTCTAAACTGGTCCAAAAGTATCTCCTCTCTGTGGCTTACTGTTACGTCTACCACACGAGTCGTATTATTAGTATATCTATACGATACGACTCCTCGGATCTGTTTCCCTTTGAATTACGAAACTACCCTCGTCGTCTCTTCAAGTTACTCCTTACCTTCTTCACCGTTAATGCTAGCAGCAGCCAGAGACGAATCTCTATCTAATGGCTAAGCCAGCTATTCAAGACGGCGAGGAAGGGATCTTGCTGCTCGAAGTTCACGGTGACGGTGACCGCTCTTGGCAGCTGAACTTCGACGATTTTCAGGTTTCTCCGGAGCATAAGGAGAAGAAATCTCCGAGCAAACTCCATAACTGTCTTGGCTGCTTGGGTAAAAATGTCTTTCTTCTCTTGACATTTACATTTTTTTTTTTTTTGGGTCTGATTAGGACAAAGACTTGTCTATTGTGTTTGGGAATAATTTGAGTTTTTTTTTTTTAGTTCTGCTGACCTTTTTTTTTTTTTTGCTATTTTTAGCTATGTTCTTTGATTGGATTGATGGAGAAGATTATGATTAAATTAATCAGAAATGTCCACAAGGAAAATCGAAGATAATAATTGACTTTATCAACTAACTCCCAAAGAAAAGATTAAAACTTGAATAATTGATTTGAAGCTATATAGTAGAGAACAAAGCTTAAAAGGGTGTTTCTTTGTTTTGGTTTTGTTGACAATTATGATCTTAACTGGTTTGAAACCTTTTCTTGCTTCACTTATACATGATTTGTGAGTCTACTTGTGTCTTCGATGGTTGCAGGTCCGGAAGATAATGTGGCAGATTATTACCAGCAGCAAGTAGAGATGCTTGAAGGCTTTACCGAAATGGATGAACTTGCAGAACGTGGCTTTCTCCCTGGAATGTCAAAGGTTAGCTTAGAATTAGATGCTTCTTTTGACTTGTCTCTTCTTTGCTGATTGAAACTTATCTTTGTGTTGTGTGCACACATAGGAAGAACAAGACAATCTAGCAAAAAGCGAGACATTAGCTATCAGAATATCAAACATTGCAAACATGGTTCTCTTCGCTGCTAAAGTCTATGCCTCCGTCACAAGCGGCTCTTTAGCTATCGTTGCTTCCACATTAGACTCTCTTCTTGACCTTCTCTCTGGCTTCATCCTCTGGTTCACCGCCTTCTCGATGCAAACACCAAACCCGTATCAGTATCCCATCGGGAAGAAGAGGATGCAACCACTTGGAATCCTAGTCTTTGCATCAGTTATGGCCACACTTGGATTGCAAATCATCTTGGAGTCTCTTCGGACAATGGTATCCAGTGTAAGTATCTGAAAACTTGATCATTTTGTTTTTTGGTCTTAGATTATTTTAAGACATTAACTTCACTTTGTTCTATTACAGCATAAAGAGTTCAGCTTAACGAAAGAGCAAGAGAGTTGGGTGGTTGGGATTATGCTCTCTGTTACATTAGTCAAACTCCTTCTTGTTCTTTACTGCAGATCCTTTAGTAACGAGATTGTTAAAGCTTATGCTCAAGACCACTTCTTCGACGTCATTACAAACATCATTGGACTCATTGCAGTTATCCTCGCTAATTACTTTGATAACTGGATGGATCCAGTTGGAGCTATAATCGTAAGTTAAAACCAAAACAAAAAGTATTAAAAATATCTTTCTACTTGTTCCTAAACAAGGTCTTGTTGTAGCTTGCTTTGTACACAATACGGACGTGGTCAATGACAGTTTTGGAGAATGTGAACTCTCTTGTTGGGAAATCAGCAACACCAGAGTATCTACAGAAACTTACTTACCTGTGTTGGAACCACCATAGAGAGATTAGGCATATTGATACAGTGAGGGCTTACACGTTTGGATCACATTACTTTGTGGAGGTTGATATAGTTCTACCTGCTGATATGCCTCTGCAAGTGGCGCATGATATTGGAGAAGCGCTGCAAGAGAAGCTGGAGCAGTTAGAGGAGATTGAAAGGGCTTTTGTGCATCTTGATTATGAGTTCACTCACAAACCTGAGCACGCTAGTTCCCACTGTTAGCTGACGGTGGAGATCTCCCTACGTCTTAAAATTCTTAGAGATTAAGAATTTTCACGAGATTGTTTTAGTAGACAAAGTACCTTTGTATATCTAGTTTTGTTGTTCAACTAGTAATACTATAAATTCCAAATAAAAAAAAAAGGTTCAGAATTTAATTTTTAACTGGTGAGCAGCACTAAAGAAATTATATAAACAAAAAGGAAAAATTGAAAATGAAGAAAAATATTTATTATTCATTATTATTTTCTAATTGAATAAATGTATTTTTATTGTATCGTTTTGTTAAAAAAAAATAGAGGAATGAGAAAGAAAAAATGTGTAAATCATATTTTTTAATAAATCATTATTATTTTTTAAAAGAAGAATTTACTATTCTTAGTAGGGTTTTTACTACTTTGAGTCTGGAATGAGAAAGAAAAAATGTGTAAATCATATTTTTTTAATAAATCATTATTATTTTTAAATCATTATTAATAAATCATTATTATTTTACTACTTTGAGTCACTAGAGCTTACAATTAAAATCATGTAACCGAAAAATCATGTCTGGTCTGATTCAGTTCAAATAATCCGGCTCGGATAGATGAAAACCGAACCGAATGAATATCGGTTTAGAATAAAGTAACCATTTCTGCATCTCCCACATCGGAAAACTTGAGCCGCATGAGTCCTGTGGAGGCTCTATATAATGTAAAGGATCAACAACTACAAAAAATTGCCTTAAACTAATGAGTAAGGAAAACAAAGCGAGCGGTGAGAGCCGGTCGCAGCGCTAACAGTAAAACATAGAAAGTGGCGCAAGAATTTATGGAAGGGACATAGGCTGGCCGAGTCGTTGACGCTGCTTACTTTTGCAGAACTCGATTCGTGCGGGCCTCCTCCATCCCCCAATTACAAAGTCTCCAAAATTCTTATTAGTAATTGGTATTGTAAATTCCGACAGTAAAGGAAGATTTTGTTCCCCAACTTGTTTGATTAATGGGCATTTTCGGGGACTAGCCCGCTTCCCATTACTCAAGAGGGCGATTGTCCGGTCCTCTTTCATGTGGAATCATTTTAGATCATATCCAAGCCTGTCTCCACTTTCTTATGTGAAAGAGGTGCTTGCTTTATGAGACTGAATGAAACCTTCTTTCTTCGATCAGAATACGAATAAGATCAAAAAGGCCATTATTGGGGCAAACAATGCAATAGCTTCGGTTAGAGCAAAGCCCAAAATGGCATAACCAAATGATTGTTTAGCCAATGATGGATTTCGCGCCACCGAATGGATCAAAGAACTGAAGACGTTTCCAATACCGATAGCAGCTCCCGCTGAAGCAATTGTAGCAGTTCCGGCACCTATTGATTTTGCACCTTCTAACATCTCGTGACAAGGTTTTTGCAAATAGATCGGTTACGAAGAAAAAAGATAAGCTAGTTTCCAACTGATCGGCTATTTTCTTGTTAGTAGTTCAATTAAAAATTAGATTTAATTTTTTTATTTGATTTGATCATTCTTTTTAAACAGAACCACATGATGTAACGAAAGTTGTTGATCTTGCTTGTGATTTCAGCCTCCTACGTGACTCCGTCTTAGTTAGGACATGGAAGAAGCTAATTCGGTTAATAGTCCAAGACGAGTTCTAAGCTTCTCCGAGAAAAATAAACAGAAGCCCTGTTTTCAAGATTCAGGCAGCGTACAAGTGCATGGATCTAAACCATCTGAGGTGTATGGCTTTGTAGGGTCAATATCCACTGTTGTTGCCACAGTGATCTTTTTGATATGGGCATATGTATCAGATAAACTGTTGGAGTCTATTGGGATCCATTACTACCCAAGCAGGTATTGGCTATTGGCTCTGCCCACGTATCTTATTGTGGCTTTGGTGTTAGCTTTGGCGTTTTACATTGGTCTCAACTTCACCACCACTCCACACCCTACCTCTCTCAATACCTTGTTTGGTGAGTACGTTTGCATAGTTCATAGTACACTGTGGTGTACGTTTTTTTTTTGAAGTTTGGCTTTTGCTATGATGATAATCTTGGTGACACTCTAATGGTTTGTTTGTTTGTTATAATGGCAGATGAGTACAGTCGAGAACCCGGGGAGTTTGATACTCAGGTGGAGGAAGGGGATGAGAGGCCTATAGATCCAATCTCTGACATTGATCTTACAAGAATCAATCTTCTTATGTTCAGTTCAAGTGATGATATATGCGTTCCAGTTCTTTAGAAGGTAAAACCATCTACGTAGCTTGACTGCAACAAGAACTTTGTAAAGTACTTCTTGCCATGTCAGAGAAGCGAGCCAAGAAAAATTCACTCTCCAATCTGCTAGTTATAGACGTCATTGATAAGTTGTTAGAACTTGAAGCTGATGATTAAACAGTGGTTTTGAATTAGAAAGTATCACAGTGTATGAATTGTTGTCTGAAGTTGTCAGCTTCATGTAGAGTATAGAGTGATTCTTTTCATTCTCTTTTCGTTTCACATTTTAGTCACATTGCTTCAAAACGCTACTATGACTTGTAGTCTCATCTAAATAAATTTCTTCCTTTTTGCGCTACCTTGTGGATTTAAATAAGTTTCTTTTGTAAATAGATTTGCACAATAAAGGAAAAAAAAGGCCACAAGGGGAAGCTAGTGAGCAAGAACATATACAAAAAGCAATCATAACTTGTTTAACACTCAATATATTTGTCTCTTCAAGCTTTGTAAGTGAGGTATACACTGAAATGGACATCAGTAATATGTTGCTTGTTCTGGTTATGACGAGTTTCCACTATGGCATACCCTTTAGCATTCTCAAACCTGCCTGTCCCGCCAATAACCGCTATCTGAGAGGCATGTGAGGCGGTCCTATGAACTCCAAAGAAACTAATAGCATCATCTAAACTGTCATGATGATCATGCTCTCCGTGTAGCAATACGGTTAAAGAAAGAGTCTGGCTAGTCCCATCCAATGAACTAGCTAGGTAAAACCCTTGAGCTTTCCCTATAACTGCTGAACCGAGCTCGTGGCTTTCGGTTAGATCATCGTCCACAACGGTTATGGTTCCGAACATAAGATGCTGGAGTGCCGCACCTGGAGGGAGGTTTCCTGCGGTTACAAAGGGGAGGTTGTTGGAGCAGAGGGCATGGCCGGCCCTGAGATTTCGGGGGTCTAAGGCGATATTTTAACGATTCCTTTAGCCAGAAAATTTTTTTTGTCGAATTTGGGACCTAAATTATTTTTTTCGGGGGCTATGTACGTATAACTTTTTCTCAAAAAAATTAGGAGTCCAAGACGAGTGTTTCATCCGGCTTGTCCCAGGACCAGTTCTGGCTGAAGGAATCATTGGTGTTTCTGTTAGTGTTTTGGATGACTGTGCTGGTTTGAGTGCCGTTAAGTCCGGTGAGAAGTGGAGCTGTGTTTGGGTTAATGACACTGTTGATGTTGTTTGAGTTGTAAGTGGGACTCCGTTATCGACTGGGAATGGCCGTTTGAGAGTCAACTTCAGATTTTTTTGTGTATTTGAACTAGGTTATGTTTTCAACTTAAAAGTCTTTAAAAATCATTACTACTTGTGCTTTTTATATTCTGTAAATGATCCATTAATTGATACATAATTAGGTTTATAAAGAATTGGAGACTAGAGGAAGTACACCAGATAATGTGGTTCATAAATGTCACTGCACTTACAAAGATATGTTGCAGTGTGTACAAAAAGCATTACAATAGTTAATAGCATTCAAGAAAAGAGCTATTCTTTCAAAGCGACACCATCTTCTTTAAGTTTGAGTCCAGACTCAACCCCTCCATGTCCATCAGAAGCTCTCTTGTCCAACCAGCCAATGATGTCAGCAAAAACGATCTCTATGTTCTCTGGTGTCTCGCCATAGAGTAAACCATGCCACATCCCAGGATACAGTTTGAAAGTTTTGTCCGAACTCGACGCAACTTTATAGAGTTGTCCACTTACCGCTTTGTCCGTGACTTTATCATCTTCACCGTGCAATACCATAAACGGTAATGAAACCTATATTACCATTACATAAACCACATATTTCTTCTTATTACAACATCTTATCATTCTTTACTAACGAGAATGTATATAAATATACCTCATCCAGTCTCTTCTCGAGATCGGTGCTAATCCTCAAGAGCTCGTAAGCAGTCTTCAAGCGTGGACGACCTTTGTAGCAGTAAGGGTTTTCTCTGACCTTTAATCATATCACGATGTCATTACTCATATGTTTCGAGTAACACCTACAAAAATGTTTCTGATTTATATATCATCAATAAAGGTGAAAATACCTGTTTCCTGACTTCTGGCTGCTTGAAAGCAGTCTCAATGATATCTTGGCCAGAGATAATTTTCCACGTGGGAACAACTCCACTAAGTTTCGACAATATCGAAATTACCAAAGGACTTGGTTTCATTTCTTCTGCGATCTGTGACATGAAAATAAGCGATCATTAGTGTTTGATGTGTGTTTGTAACATTTAAACACATAGCTACATATCATGGCACATAGAAAACTAATCTAATCAGTGAACTAATAGTAGATGTTCCACATGTTGCATAGCTGGGTGCAACGATTACAAATTGGATATCTAACGCAAGATTTGTTACATTTGATAATGTAATGATATCTTCATCAACTTAACTCTACCATTAATTATTGTAAATTGTAAGCATGCTTCAAGAGGTTGATCTCACACACATGTCCTACTAATATTTGATTAAAATAACTAATAATTGAGCATCTTTTAACATCATCATGGCACGTTGAAAACTGACAATCAAGATTTTGGTATTTGCATATCTTTTGGGTTGGGTGGGCAAAAAGTTGCAACACACCATGATAATATAATGTTTAATGTGTCCAATTAATTAACCTTAATAAAGTCTACAGAATATTTTCACTTCCCCATATATACAATTTATTTTAATAATTTCTATTTGCATAATATTCTCTCCAAAGAACATAAAGTTAAATTGACTGACGGCATAGAATATTCTTATATATTTAGCAATATTTCTTTTGTTCCCTAAAGAACAGATGGTTAAGAGGATGAATATTACCTTACACATTGGAGCAACCAAGACGGCCCCATCCCAAAACTCAGGCTTCTTTCTGTGTAACAACAAAAGCACAGCCCCACCCATTGATTCTCCCAGCAAAAACCTCATCTTCCTTTTATTCTCTTCTCTCTCTAATTATTTCAACCACGAACAAAAAGACATCAAAATCATTTTCTGATAACGTGGGACGACAAAAAAAGTTTTGTACAAGATTCTTTCATCCAAAAACAACTCAACATATTTTTTCATCAAAATAACTGGGTAATCTTTAGATTTTTTTTTACTGTCTATATTACTCCATAACTCGTTGAACGGTAAATATAAAAGTGGCTTTGACCGTGACTCGTTGCCACAATTTTCAAAAGGTAAATATTCATAAAGTCAATATTTCACTTTTACGTTACCGCAAATGGATGTGTAGTGGGCAGAGACATCATCAACGAGATGGTCGAAGTTTGAGACATAAGCACTAAGCCCATCAGATTTACCATGTCCTTCATAGTCCATCCCATACACCCCATATCCTGCATTCACAAGCCTTCTCGCAGTACCTATCCCAATCATATTCATCACTAACATTAAATAAAGCTTCAATAATTTAATGACTACATATACATCAAGAAATGGGCTAATCTCAACTGTTCATGGTGATGCTGCATTCCATTGCATATCCATGGCAGATGAAGATTAAAGCCTTTGGTTCTTGATTTGCTGGTAACCACTTGCACGTGAATAACTTCATTCCTCGAGTGTTGTTAATGAAACTCTGCATTTATAAAATATAATCATCATCATTTAAACCACACATTCATATATCTATGTAAATATCGTAATACATAAATTTATTAGAGTTGTGACATTACACATACCTCTTCGTACTTGATGTTCTCTGTTTCAGTTGCCTGTATTAACGCACAAAGAAAACATAAACTATATTACAAGAACAGCAAACTAACACATTTTTTCAGATGCGGTCTGATAGAAACATAGACCAGAGAGTATCAAACTTTAACGTTACTGACCATTTTCAAGAAGAGGTTGATCGAAGTCTCACCCTTCTATACTTTTCGTTTTATTGGAGACAGAGAAGTTTTATGATAATAGATAGTTGTAAGGATCTGTTTATATTGAGCAGTTGTAGAGGAAGGCGACTGTAGGGTAATACGACACCGTTTGACAGTGACGAAATAACGGACTCCTTTCCTCTCTTCGCACTCCAACACGTTTTTTTGCTTCTTGAAACGAAAAAAAAAAACTTAAGGAGATTCGCTGACAGGTGGCGACGTTCGAAAATACCCACCCCCCCCCCCTCCAACTTTCAAAATAACACAAGTAACATCCTCAAATTTAAAATAGCTCACAGTTAACACCTCAACTCCTGTAAATTTTCGTTTCTACATGACTACATTACAATATGCTAACACTTGTTGCACAGAGTGTTAGCACAGTCATTGGTTATTTTATCCATTTTATCTTATCTTAGATATAAAAGTTCTTGTCCGTTAATTCCATTTTCTTAACTACTTAAATCAATGAGAGAAGTCTCTAAGACTTGAAAAATATGAGTAAATCAATGATTCAAAGTTACGATAGTGAATATATATATATATTTTTTTTTTCTGTTTAAAACTGAATATCAGCATGTGTATGTCATATCATAGCATATCATATCACTGCCAGTAAACAAATATGAAGCAGACTTTGATGAATGAGTAGCAAGCAGTTTGAGTTCATTTTTTTAATGTGTAGAAAGCGTTGATCTATATTTAGGCGAGGAGCCGATGATCGTGAGATATAATAGAATATCTTAAAAGTGTGGTCGGTTTTTCATTTAAACGTTAAAGATGCCTACTTTTTAGTAGACCATGTGTATCTATGGCAAAACAACAGTTTTATTATTTATTATACACATTGTTTAAAAAGCAATGTGTAGTTTTATAGTTTTTTTGGGTCAAAATGTAGTTTTATAGTTAACACATGCATGGTCTACTAAACTAAATTGCAGTGCAAGAATCCTCTATGATTTTGATTGACATACGGCACGTTTGAGTATTTCTATTTATTGAATATATGATTCTCCCAAGTTTTGAAATACTTTCATATTTTATATTATGAAGAATCTTGATGAGATACTAGAGATAATCATGTTCTAATGGGTTTTTAGACCATCACTATTGGGAGAGATTCCTATTACGTTTTTCGAAAATATTTTGATGCTTTCAAACTATTGACCGGTAAAATAAACTGATATGGGTGTTATAGGCCACATGATCAACGTTTTCTTCAAATATAGTTTCTCATCACCTATATCTATACTACTAGAACATAAACACTCTTTAAAATAATATTAATTTTACTTAATATGTTACAAAATATGTCACTGAATTTTTTAAAAATTACATGTATATTCATCATAAGTCATCATTGTTATGTCCAAGCATCCAATATACAAAATGCAAATGAAAACCACCAGAACTTCACTACAACCATTTCATGTGTCAACAAGATAGTAGTAAGCGACTATTCCTTATAATGAAAACCATCATTCTTATGTTTAAGCTCCGACTCAAACCTATCATTTCCATGTTCGGTTCTTTTTTCCAACCATTCAATAACGTCAGCAAAGACAATCTCAATGTTCTCTTGTGTCTCGCCATTGAGCAAACCATGCCACATTCCAGAGTACAACTTTAAGGTCTTATCAGAGCTCAACGCAACCTTATACAGTTCTTGGCTCACTGCTTTATCAGTTACTTTATCATCATCTCCATGCAATACCATAAACGGCAATGAAACCTATAATCATTAAATGCATTAGTTGCAAGTTAGAACCAAACTGATAATATATATCCAGTTTCTTTATAATAATACACTATATTACAATTTATACCACTAATATATTACTCTTTGTGCCCAATCTGAATATCAATGCAGAGAATCTTGAATGTTATAATTTATAAATACCTCTTGAAGTTTCTTCTCCAAATCGTTGCTGATCCGTAAGAGTTCATACGCAGTTTTCAAGCGTGGTCGTCCTTTGTAACATAAAGGATTTTCTCTAACCTTCTCATACCACATTATTGTACAAAAGTTAACTCAACCATATGTCCATATTGATCAGATTCCTTGCTTACACAGCTTTTTTATATGTTATTTATATACTTTGCTTACCATGCTATATATAAACATACCTGTTTTCTTATTTCTGGCTCTTTATATGAAATATCGATGATATCTTGAGTAGGAATAATTTTCCATTTGGGAATAACGTAGATAAGCTTCGTTAATATCGAAATCACAAAGGGACTTGGCTTCAATTTTTCTGCAATCTGTGACAAATATGTATATCCCACGTTCATACAATTTCATTTAATTTATATGCATAAAATTTACATCAATTAATTTACAACTACATACATGAAATCAATTAAAGAGAAAGCTATAATTTTAAAATGTAGTAACCTGGATTAATATGCATGATTATTTCCACATACTTTAATGGAATTAAGGTATCTAATATATATATATATATATATACTGTATATATTATATAATTATGTGTCCACAATGCCGACCAATAACGATAGGCAGCTGAAAGGGTACAAAAATATGAGAAATAGTGAAATACCTTACACATTGGTGCGACCAAGAGAGCTCCATCCCAAAAATCAGGTTTCTTCCTGCTTAGCAACAAAACCACTGCTCCTCCCATTGATTCTCCTAACATAAACCTCATCTTCCTTTTGTTCTCTTCCCTCTCTTTAAATTTTACATTCCAAAGAATTTTAATTAGTTCTTAAATTTTTATTTGATAATGTCAAATAAATAAATTTAAAAAACTTCAAGCTACTTATTCATCAGTTGGTTCCATATTGAATCGCACGTTCAAAACTTCAACGAAGAATAATTCAAATAGATACACTACTTATATATATATAGTTTTATTTAAACATACAACCTTTTTGTCACACGAAAATATCAATCAATAAATTGGCTTTTATTTTCCAAAGTCAACGTTACCACAAATAGTTGTATAGTGAGTTGAGACATCAGCAACGAGGTGGTCAAAGTTTGGGATATAACCGCTGAGGCCATCGGATTTGCCATGTCCTTCATAATCCATTCCATATACCCCAAATCCAGCCTTCACAAGCCTCCTAGCAGTACCTAATCCGATAAAATCGATCACAAAACCATTAATAAAATTCCATCTAATTTTTGCGGTAAGGAAGAATCTTGGTGGACCTTAGACTAAGAATGTTTCCGACGCTTTATTTTTTTATGGAAACATATACATATACAAAAAGAAAAGATGAAGTGGATTAATCTCAACTGTTCATGGTGATGCTGCATTCCATGCCGTATCCATGGCAAAGGAAAACTAAAGCCCTTGGCTCTTGGTTTGTTGGTAACCATTTGCACGTGAACAACTTCAATCCTCGAGTGTTCTTTATGAAACTCTACATATATGTAAATATATATACTCACCAATCAATCATCAGATTTCTCTAACTATTGGTGATCTTATTTTATATGTATATACATACCTCTTCGTACTTGATATCATCTGTTTTACCCGCCTGCACACCAAAACCAATTCATTATGATTAGAGATGAAGAATCAAGACACTTTCAGATACAAGAAACAAGAGATTGTTAAATAAACTGACCATAACGTAAAAAGAGATGAATTTGATTTTTTTGTTTTTTTTTTCTGGAGTCAAGGATTGAGAAAATGTAAATGGAATAATTGTAGAGCTGTGCTTCGTCGTCTGACTATAACAACGTCCCTTACTTTCATTTTGTATCTCACCCCTTCAACTTTCATAGTATTACAAAATGGCCCCAACGTTTGTAAATATTTAAGTAATTCCCCACAATTTCCACCAAATGTTTATTGGATAACATATTGCAAAGAGAATTAGAGAAAACTCGTGAATATCTGTGGTCTTTTTGGGTTTATTAAAAAACTGGGAGTAGTTCTAAGATATATCAAAGGGTCCTGTTGTAATTATTATTTCTCTAAGAGTCATTTCCTTCAATCCTCAGTTGATTATTGTGTGTGAATTTGGCTATAGTATCAAAATTATGCTGATGATCATTTTTAATTTGTAAATAGTAAAATCCTTCCTTTAGAGTAAAATACTAAGTTATTGTATGATGCATGTTATCAAGAAAAAAGATATATACCATTAACATAGTTTTGATTTTGGATTTATACTTGGAAAGTAGTCATTACATTAGGACACGAAATGAATAAATGATCTCTCCATTCGACGAAAAGTCGTTAATGCACTTACCTAACAAAGTACTAAACCTACACAAATTCACCTATACAATGTTAATGGGGTTTTGACTATTTAGTTTTTAGTGTTAGTAACTTCGTATAACTAAGATTCATCACTATCTGTCCAAAATTGTTAATTAATTAGTGTTTCCTTTTTGAATTTAATGTTCTTAGTATGGTCATGATGTCTAACGAAATGTTTCTGACTTTAGTAAATTCATTTTAAAATACTTAAGAACAAATTATATACTATATATGTAAGGTCAGATATAGTGCAAACTGTTAAAGATTTCTGATTTTGCATATAGTTTCAAAACTACGGGCATTGAATTTCCTCCATGCATTTATTGTGTTTTCAGCCCAAAGGTCACTAACATAGGTTAATTATTATATGTATATAAAAAATATTTGAGATCTCAAAACACTTAAGAGCCAAACAAATATAGATGTAATTTCAAATATAATTTTAGTTGCTAGAGAATTTTTCAATTAGCTAATGGTTTTGAATTTCTTTAATACATTTATTGAGTTTCCAGTCCAAAAGTCAATAAAATAAGATAACTGTATGCATATAACAAAGAATCTGATATATCATCTATATTCAACTGTGATGTGTTATCTAGTTCTCAAAAAAAAAAAAGCTGTGTTATCTACAAATATGCCTATTTGAGGTTTTGTTGACAATTTTTCATGTATGAGATTATCAGTAAATATAAAATGTTTCCCTGAATTTAGGAAGTTGTTTGCACAGATATGGATGTTTCTTTTTGAGAGAAAAATACATATATGAATATATAGTTACATAAGTTACCATGTATTATTCGATACTTATTTATGCATGCTTCAACAATCCATCATGTTTATGTTTTAACTCACTCTCTAATCGCCTATTAGATTCAGAGGTTCTATCCACCAGCCACTTAATGACATCACTAAATACGATTTCTGCATTTTCAGGAGTTTCTCCATACAATAAAGCATGCCACATGTTAGGGTAAAGCTTGACTGTTTTGTCCGAACTTGAAGCCACTTCATATAGCATTTTGCTGACGCTTTTGTCTGTCACTCTATCATCTTCTCCGTGAAGAACAATGAAAGGAATTGATACCTAGTTCAAAAGCGACGATAAAGTAAATAATTATCAAGTTATGTGAAATGTTTTGATGTATTGTAAGCATTACTAAATATATGTATATGTCTATAACTATGACTAAAGAAAACTAGAACCTCATGAAGATTCTTCTCGAGATCTAAGCTAACCAACAAAAGTTGGTAGGCGGTTTTGAGGCGAGGCCGACCTTTGTAGCAATATTCGTTCTCCCTCACCTGTAAAAACCATAAGAACCATATATATAAGTAATATCAAACTTTAAAATATATATAAAACTTGCCTTCTTAAATCGTCATGATAAATCACCTGAGTTCTGATGTGGGGTTCTTTAATCGCAATGTCAAGTATATCATTGCCTGGAACTATTTTCCACGTTGGAATAAACGAGCAAAGCTTTATGAGAATTGAGATCACTACAGGATGTGGCTTTACCTCTTCAGCTAACTGTACATGACAGCAATTCTACATAAGGAACATCGTACCAAATATTGACAATAAGGAACATCGTAGCAAGTAGTGGAATAGGTGGATTACAATGTAACTACTTCTAAGGATATTTTTTTTTAAATGGCACTAACAAAAACAAATAAAAGAAAACACTAAGAAACAAAAAAAGTATAAGGATAAGAGAAACACATACCTTACACATTGGTGCGACCAAAACGGCGCCGTCCCAAAAATCAGGCTTCTTTCTAGCTAAGAGCAACACAACTGCTCCTCCCATGGATTCTCCAAGTAGAAACCTCATCTTCCCCTTATTCTCTTCTTTCTCTTCAAACCAACCAACCATTTATTTTTCTTTAGTAAGTTGATGAAAAATCTAAACAAATAATTAAGGTATTTTTTGAAATTACCACAAATTGTAGAGTAGTGAATAGAGACATCATCAACTAGATCATCAAAGTTACTGATGTAACCACTTAATCCCTCGGATTTTCCGTGTCCTTCATAGTCCATTCCATAGACTGCAAAACCGGCCTTGGCTAGCCTCGTCGCTGTACCTGATTAATCCCATGTAATGATTAATTATGTAATGAACTTTAGTAAATATCTAAATTCCATATGACATATTTAGCCCAAAAAAATGATAACAGAAAGGATGAGAGAAAGAGAGAGATAGAGAGACGAAACTGTTCATAGTGATGCTGGACTCTGCAGCGTAGCCATGGCATAAGAAGAGCAAGGCCTTTGGTTCTTGCTTGACAGGTTTCCATCCACAAGTGAACAACTTCATGCCTCGTGAGTTCAACACAAAATTCTGCAAACAAGAAAAAAAAAACAAATAAATTGGACATTTAATCTATTGTCAACTGTTATTATATATATATAGAGCTCTGTATGGGAAGCATATATATTTGGACTAACCTCTTCATACATAACCATGATGCTCTGTTTTATACAAAGATTAAGATAATTTGGTTGTTTATCAAAGGGCTATGCTGAAAACCAAGAGAGTGTGGCGTCCAATTTATAGAGAGGAGTCAAGAGGTTCAAATAAATAAATTAAGGATAATTAAGAACAGGAATCAAGTGAGCCAGAAAATAGGGAAGCCGCGTAAGCCACTGCGTTATGATTTTTTTTTTTTTTTTTTTTTGGTGCGTTATGAATAATTAGAGCGTTCAAACGTGTCAAGACTTTGTGGGATTTTTTCGTTATAGATGACGTTAAAAGAGACTTTGAATAATAACATTTTCTTCTTCTTGAATGAATGCATTAGTGGTTAGTGCTTGACCGGTGTAGTCTTGTTTCTTTTCATTTGACAAAATGGCAACTACTCCGATTGAGTAATTATTTAGTTGGCATGCCATTATCATTTTGTCTTTTGAGATTTTAATTTAAGGAATGGATATACATGTACTTATGTCTTGTGTAAACCTTTATATGTATCATCCCATTTATTAGAGGTAATTGTCATAACCCTACTCATAATTACAACTTTGAATTTCCTACCTTGTTATTTATAACGATAACGTCTTCAATTAGAAATTATTTTAAGTTTAGTATTACATTCAATCTAATTCAGTGTGTCAAGAAAAGAAGATGTGTGCTCAACCGTGTATGTAAACCAACCACCTAAATACATGCAAGGCTGTAGCCTATAGGTAAGTTTGATCTTTCAATGAATATTTTTTTCTGAACAACTTTCTATGATTAGTTCTTTCCAATAATTGTTTATGAGATATAAAATACAATATAGAAAAAAAGAAACTTGCACTAAATCCTTCTAGGTTAAGACTTTAAATTAAAAATTAATATTCGTCTACCAGTGGCTCAATAATGTGTTACTATTTTATGAGTGGAATACCACACATGAATGATGTGTATTTAGATACTAGGTGATTTTCCCGTGCTCATGCACGGGCATAAATATTTATAAAATAAATATAAAAATAATTAATTGTTATTTACTTTATATTTAAATTAATTTATAGTTTATATGTATAATTTCTATTAATAATATTATATTATTTAATTATATATATGATTTTAGGTATGTTATATCTAGTCGGTTTTATTGTTTTTACAGTCAATTTAGTTATCATTTGGATATATTGGATTCTATCTATTTTTCTGAATTCAACTATAATATATTTTGTTCTAAATATATAATTTTTCTTTAATTTTCTTATTTGCATTTATGTTGGTTGTTATCTTAGAAATATAAGTATATCTTAGTAAGATTATGTATAACTTTAGATCTTGTTCTTAGAACGAAAAAATTAAAAACTAAAATGTTTGATTCTAAATTACATAAATTAATATAATAATATTCTATAATCTCTTGCATATATATAAATTTTACAAAAGAATTAAGTTGTAACAGTGAGTAAATGTTTTATTTTTTATTTGTTAATATGTTTTAAGTCATCTGATAATTTGTATTTATTAAATAAATAACTATTATCATATAATTATATATTCTTATAAAATAAATCAATTATATGTTCTTATTGTAGTTAAAGCTATGATTTTAGATATAAGTTATATTAGTTGAATCACTCATGTTGTAGATATATTGATATTGATATATATATTCAAATTAAAACTGAAATATAATTTTTATTATAATTAAGTCAAATCAAATTAGTTTACTTATTGTTTAAATGTGCATGTATTTTCATAATGTTTATCAAAATATACATTGATTTGTTATAAAATTATTAGAAAATAAAGCGATATTCAATAGGAAGCTATATACATAAGTAACTAATAAAATTTTGGAAGTTTATGAACATATGTAAATATTTGAAATAATTAAAATATTTATAAATTCTAAATAGTTTTATGCCTAAGATTGATTGGATGGCAAACTGAATTTTATTTTAAATAATTTTAATAATAAGGATCCCGATTTGCTTAAGTATATTGATTATGGTTATATTAAGTTCCACAAACATAAAAACAGAAAATTAAAAATCAAAGAAGTTATTAAAAAAACAGATAATTTTAACTATTAAAATATAATATATCTACCTCTCTAAACTATATAGTGTTATGATATTTTAAAATAATTAAATTTATTTGATGAAAAGATGTTTATTATTAAATTTGTTTTTAGTTTTGTTTTTAATATCTCTTAAAATATGCAGTAAAAAATGTGATTGGTTTTGAGAAATTATATTATATAAGTAAAATAGAATTTATATCTTTTTCTGTAATTGTAACATATTATAGTCAAATAAATATATGAAAAAAGAAAAAACAAATTTCAATAATACTAATTATAAAAAATGTAAATTAAACATATATCAGTTTCTGTTACTTAATTATTTTTTGTAATCATCTAATAAATAGATAGATATATACAAAAATTATTACTTTAATATATATATATATATATTATTGTTTAAAATTACTTTTATCCTTTTTCTAATATCAAGATTATTTGTGTGAACTTTATTTATGATATCACATTATATACAAATATTATTTTCATCTAAGAATAAATAGATATAAAGTATTTTATTACTTCAAAAATATATTTTAATTTATTTAAAAATATTTTTTTAATTAAATATTATTATTTTGTGAAGTTTCCTTTTTTATGAAACCATATTATATATTTATATTTTCGTTTTTAAATTTTTTTGTAAACTTTATAAATGTTTCCTTTTTATTTTATATTGTTATTTGGAAAATTTTTAAAAGGAAATAATAATATTTAAGTGTATTGTTTAATTTATTAGAGCCTTAGGAGGTATTATAGTAATCAACCACTATGAGAGTTAATCTGAGCGCAACACGTAAGAAAGTGACTTCTCAAATAATATTATAGAGATAGCGGTAGGGTTAACATATATCAGTTGTTTTTTAGCGGAGTTAACCGACAAAAACATGTGAAGAATATCAAACGGTAGTTCTAACATCGCTAGTTCAATCTTAGTTAGGAGTAATGATTGTCTTTTAAAACGCAGTGGTTGGTCGTAAACACAACAAAATAAGCTAAAACTTAGGAATTTGTATTCAACTCTTTAAAAAATGCATAGAAACACAATTGATAAACGTCTGTTTCTAAAACAAGGTTTCCAGTTCCGACTTGTACAACTCACATTGTGAAACTACTAAAACATCGGCCCATATAATATCAAAATCAACCCATTATCAATGCCCATACAGAAAGCCCAAATAAACATACACCTAAAATCCAATATAAGATTTTTCGAACAAGTAACAAGATTTCATGGCAGAGCTTGTTCTTCTACGCGTCGCCAAAGTCACTGGAGGTGCTCCAAACAAGCTCTCTAAGATGCATGTCTCTCCAATATAGCTTAATGGTTCAGTTCTTGATCCGTTCCGACAGTAACTGATCTTGTTTGTGTTTTAAAAGAAAGGTGGTGAGGAAGTCGATAGCTCAGGTGTTGACAGTGATCTCACAGAAACAGAAGCTTGCTCTGAGAGAAGCGTATAAGAGCAAGAAGTTTTCGTCTCTTGGTCTTCGTCCCAAGAAGACTAGAGCTATCAGGAGGAGACTCACTAAGCATCAAGCATCGCTCAAGACAGAGAGAGAGAGAAGAAGAGTGAAATGTATTTACCAATTAGAAAGTACGCTATTAGGTGTAATCTTTTCTTAATCACATCATTTTTTTTTGTTGTGTTTTGAATTTTCTCTCGCTTTGTATTGTGTTGTTCTCTGTAAAACCTTCCTTTAACTCATCTTAATAAAAGATTATTATTCACAAACGTAATATATTTAGTTTAGGAAAAAGTTGAAGATAAGTACAAAGTGATTATAATTCAAAAAAAAAGTACAAGTGATTTACCAAAAAAAATATAATTTGTTATCAATATACATGTGATCATTTAGATGAAACCTATTGTGTGACTCCTCAGGCCTTTCCTTTGTTATCAAAGAGGGTATGTTATGACTGTAATTAATAAAGTGACTATGTTTGCATATAGTCAAAACTCAAACATGGGTTAGATTTTTTTCTGTAAATTAATCTAAACATCAGCTTGATCTTATAAAAATGGTTAGGAGAATAAGACAAATTTGAGAAAATTTGACTTTGTAATTACTTGCCTCAAAGAGACACGAGTTTGACTTTCATTACCCCATTTGTTTTCACATTATGTTCAACGACCTCTAAATCTCTAACCGGTTAGATGTCAGTTGTGCGTTGCTAACTTGCTATACGTAGAACAGCATTTTAATGCTGGTCTTGATTTGCTTTGTCGGCTTTGATGCAGACCTACATCTATACGCTATTGACTTTGTTAAGCAAATTATCTTCTTTTTTCCATTAGTTTCAACTCGTGTATGTATTTTTATTTTGTATATTATAAGTATCGTTTTTCAAACCTTGACACCATGGCATTAACTGATTTTATAACATACGCATGTGAAATGCATAATATGAGAGAGATCACGCGTATCTTTGTTCGGCTAGTCAAAGAAATAGGTTAATAGGCTTATATAGTGAAGACACCAACAATAATCTGAAATAGGTTAATAGGCTTATATCTTTGGTTTCAGTATGTACAATTGAAATTATACAATTAGTAGTTTCGTATTCATACTAACCTCTCAACTTGTCGGTATCTTAATTATGGATTCATAACACAAAAGAAACAATAATTATGTAGTCTCATAGATTTACATAATGAAGTTATATATAGGTACAATTATAAATAAAAATTGAATATCTTTAAAATGTAAACACAACTCTAATAAAAACAATATAGAAGCCGTGGAATTAATTAACGAAGATTGAACCATATATTAAGTTATTAACCTTCATTAGAAAACTCAAAGTCTACAATGTGAAAATCTTCAAAAGTCTTATTGTTCTCACCTCAAAATTAAAGTTGACGTAGTCACCAACTCTTATATCTTAGGCTTCTTAGCAAGGTATTAACCGTTAATCACATAAAACACACCTCTTATGTTTGTATTAAGCAATCCAAAATTTGCCAAGTCAAAAGACTCGAAGCGACTACGTATACAGTACGTGGGAGATGCATCTACATTCTACAGGTCATGGACAAAATAAAGAAAATAGAGGACGTGGGAACCTAGATGGTTGCGGCCAGAAGTACTCTTTCCTAGCAATATAGTTAATCAAGTGGGAAGATACGATTGGTTCTGGTTGATTATCTGTTCCAACTTTTCTTATAATTGATGACTAAGTTTATAATCATGCTTTGTATCAATTTTAAAATAATAGTATTATACATTAAAAACGCCACTACTTAAAATATATCCATATCTAAAGATTGGCTGAGATACCTGTATTAAGCAATACAAAAAGAAACAAGAATATTGGGTCAAATTAGCGAATTATACCATTATTCTGTTAAATTAAACCATATAAACAGATGAACATTACATAATATTACAAAGCTTCCATGAATAGAAAAGAGATAGTCAATAGTTTCAATCAAACATTGAGAACCCATCTCTGTATATAATGTTCAAATTCAAGAACCTTACAAAGACAATGAATAGAGTATACGCCAAGTAAGTCTCATAAATGGCAAAACAGGCCAAGCGTGTTACATTCTCTCCCACTTCTCCTAAATCAATCATTTCATCCATTTCTTCATTCACATCTCTCTCACCTTCTCCTCTCAACAAAACATATTCTCAGTCCATGGTGGAGGAAACCGTGGAATCCACGGAAACAATCATCAAGAAATGGGATCCAAACACAAATACCATCTTCCTTTTCAGTCACAGCAGAAAAGAGGCCAAAGAGTTCATCAGATGCGTCCGTGACTTACGCAGAGCCATGCAATATCTTGTCTCTCAAAACTCTCAATCTCCCAAGCTTGTTCTTGCACATAGCCTGATGCACATAGGTATGTCCAGGCTAGGAAAAGAGTTCTTTCAGATACTATCTTCCAACCGAGACCAGCTTGATCCTGAATCAGTCTCTGGTGACTCCTCAATATCTAGCAACTCAGAGTTTGAAGATGTTATACAATCTGATGATGATGAGCTGGAGAAGGCTGGTGAGTCCATCTCTGAGGTAGAGAAAGCTTCATCTCTGGTGATGTCAGACTTAAAGATCATAGCAGAGACTATGATCAGCTGTGGTTATGGTAAAGAGTGCATAAAGAGTTATAAGATGATCAGAAAGTCTATTGTTGATGAAGGGCTACACTTACTTGGGATCCAAAAGTGCAAGATCTCTCTCTTCAACAGAACGGATTGGATCATGCTCGAACCTATGATCAAGAACTGGATCAAAGCTGCAAAGATTGGAGTCACAACACTTTTCAAAGGAGAGAAACTTCTTTGTGATCATGTCTTCTCTTCTTCAACTACATTAAGAGACTCTTGCTTCTACGAGATAGCTAATGAAGCAGGACTCAATCTCTTCAGTCTCCCTGAGCTCGTTGCCTATAAGGAGAAGAAACCACACCCTGAGAGGATCTTCAAGCTCATGGATCTCTATGCAGCTATCTCTGACCTTAGACCAGAGATAGAACAGATCTTCAACTTTGATTCAGTAGCTGATGTCAAGACACTAGCCCTCTCATCACTCAAGAAACTCAAGAACTCAATCCACATGTGTCTCAAAGAGTTTGAGTCCACAATACAAAAGGATTCTTCAAAAGCACTTACTCCTGGAGGAGGGATTCACAAGCTAACTCAAACAACAATGAGTTTCATATCATCTCTGTCTGAATACAGCCGTGTCTTGTCTGAGATTCTTGCAGAGAATCCTCTCAAGATAAACACTCGTTTGGTTGAATCTTACTTCACGGCTCCAATCTTGGAAGATGAACATGTTAACCACCATTCAACATCAGTCTATCTAGCTTGGCTCATACTGGTTTTCCTTTGTAAACTAGACATCAAATCAGAGAGTTACAAAGATGTCTCTCTCTCTTACCTCTTCCTTGTCAACAACATTCAGTTTGTGGTTGACACAGTTCGTTCTACTCACCTTAGGAACCTCCTTGGAGACGATTGGCTCACCAAGCACGAAGCAAAACTCAGAAGCTACACTACAAACTACGAGAATGCAGCGTGGGCCAATGTTTTCTCATCTATACCGGCGAAAAACAATACTACACTTTCACCAGACCAGGCCAAAACACATTTCAAGAGGTTTCACGTGGCATTTGAAGAAGCATACATGAGACAATCATCATGTGTTATACATGATGTGAAGCTGAGGGATGAGCTTAAGGTTTCTATAGCAAGGAAGCTTGTACCGGAGTATAAAGAGTTTTATGAGAAGTACTTTCCGATGGTTAGAGAGGAGAGAAACATAGAGATGTTGGTGAGGTTTAAGCCTGATAACTTAGAGAATTATCTCTCAGATATTTTTCATGGAACATCAGAACTTAGTGACTCTTCTTCTTCTTTGTGTATCCCACTTGGATGTGGATGAAACTAAATTTCAGAGAGCAATGTTTAGCATATTCACTCAAAAATTGGTTGTACAATTTCAATTATGTATAACCAAACCGTAATTTCTAATGTCATGGAAACCGGTTGTACCGGGTGGAAGTGGAATGTCTTTTGGTTTGTTTATGAATCATGGTTTAATATTTTACAATCTTCAAGGTATTGGAATAAACTCAAGCGAATATACTCAAAACTGCATACTATATAATCCATATATATATTATAATATAATTCATATATGAGGGAGATGATACTCAAAATGGAGCAACTACACCCTGGAATCAAGTAATATGTCTGAAACATGCTACAATGGGATGTGACCTTGCCAATACCTAAATAAAAGAGTTTCACACTATATTACAGATTAAACATCTAATACAGAAAACGATAAATACATAGTATAAAATATTATGCTATGAAGCGTGTTGAAATTTTGTATTTGGTGAATAAAAACAAACATAATGAGTATTGTATGTTGATTAAGTTGAAAAGATACTATGCCGTATTTTCTCGAATTTTTACTAGAAATATTAAGATTTTGAGAATATTAACCAAACTAAGCGAGTGTTAAAGTTATCTTTTAAGTTTGTAATTTTTTTTTTTTTTTTGGTTTAAGTGTTAAGATATGTGGTTGTACTATTATGTGTTTGTAATTTTGATAAGAAACAAACATATCACCTTGTCTAATGTCTATAGATGTAAATGCATCTGTGTTATCAATGTATCATACGGGTCACGACATAATCATATTGTTGTATCGTATTTGGTTAGTGGTTAGTGCTGATGTATTTATCTATTGCTTGAATTAACCACTAACCAATAAGACAGGAAAAATAGCACACACGTGGGCTTCTACCAAGAATATTGTCGCTCATCGTCGTCCTTGTCTAAATTTAAAGAAATCTAAATACACATACTGAAACACAATCAGTAAAATAATGATCAGATAAGTTATTAAACCAATACTTTATGTATGAGATACTTTTGTCTTTATTCTAAACTTTGCCTCGCTATTCGTTCTTACATTATTTAAACTCTAACACCATTAATAAAGATGCTTAACCCGTTAACTTTCTAAAGCCAATCAAATATTGAAAGAAAATCGAAAATTAAAAATCAGTGTTCATTAAAAAAAAATTGATTCACCATATATTAAGTTCAAGATTTAAGTGGTGGTCCTCCAAAGAAATCATTATTTGTAATATAAACAAATATACCTTATTTTTTTGCAGTGGTAATTAATTCCTTGTGTTTTATCATAGATGTACGTAAAATGAAAACACGACTTGGTCCACACTCCACAGTTGTACCATCTTTACCAAATCAAGAACCTAACACTAACTTTCTCTGGCATATATAAAAACATACCTCCTCTACTCTTAACTCATATCACTAATCACTAAAACCATAATACAAAAAGAAGAAACATACATTAACAAAATGGCAGCTAATCTAGAGTGGTTTGATAGTGATGTAGAAGAAGATTACATAGACATGGAAGTCACTTCTTTCACTAACCTCGTACGCAAAGCTCTCAACAACAGCAACAACAACAACCCTAGAGAGTTTGAGTTCCAAATGTCTCATCTATGTCCTCTCGACATAGACAAAACTACTTCTCCTGCAGATGAACTCTTCTACAAAGGCAAGCTTCTCCCTCTTCACTTACCTCCACGTCTCCAAATGGTTCAAAAGCTTCTTGAAGAGTACACCTTTGACCAAGAATTCTACAGCACACCTTTAGCTACCGGAACAGTTACAACTCCGGTGACAAGCAACACCCCTTTTGAGTCTTGCACCGTCTCTCCGGTAGATTCTTGCCAAGTGAGTCAAGAGCTTAACCCTAAGGACTACTTTCTTGGTTCATTGGAGAATGATGAGAAGAAGAAATCTTGGGGCAAGAAACTGAGATTGATCAAACACTTGAGTTTTGGAACGAAGATTAAAGCTTCAAGAGCTTATCTAAGATCATTCTTTGGGAAGTCAAGTTGTTCTGATGAGTCAAGAGTTGCTGATGAAGGATCTATGTTGAGGTATTCCAGAGCAGAGAGACCTAAAAAGCAGAGTAATGGTTCTGTTCCTGGGAGCCATAGGAGATCCTTTTCGGTTTCTATGAGGAGTCAGCATGTGAAGAGTTCGAACAGCAAGTCATCGACTAGTTTAGGGTTTCGTCCTTTGCAGTTTTTGAAGAGAAGTACTAGCTCGAGTTCAGAGATTGAGAATTCTATTCAAGGAGCTATCTTGCATTGCAAGCAATCTCAGCAACAGAAGCCGAAGCAGTACAGTGTTAATGAGGTTGGCTTCTATTCGTTGTCAGCTTCAAAATATTCAGTGGCAGGTGATCAAGAGCGGGCTCAGATGTTTAGGGGTTAACTAAATAATTAAATTGAACATGAAGATGAAGAGAAGAAAATAAGGAATGAGTGAGAGTGAGAGAACTGAAGATTAGATTCTTTGTTTTCTTTTTGTTTGTACTCTTATTTTGCTTATTTGTTTTTCTATGAAATTTCATAAATTCCTAATGCCATTTTCGTGTAAAGATAAATAAATATGATTAAAATCTTTGTTTTAGATTCAAATCACTTGTGGTTTGAAGTTTTAGATTCAATTCCAATTTCAAAATGCAAATTGATGCAGGTGTCTACCACAATCTGAAAATGTTTAAAGGATTTTATTATTATGTTGAATGGCAACTTTCCTGCCTACATATAAATTGTGTTTAAAATCATTCATTTGCAACATAAATTTATGATGTTTGTTTAGCTTGTTTATCTTTATTTTTTTCTCATATTGGTTTAATTTTCCAGATAATTAACAATTTAATATTGACTAAAATATACATTAATCAAACTCTAATTAGTACATTACACCGCATAGTAATTACAACTAATATTGTTTCAAAATAAAAATCTTACAACTAATATTACAATTTTTCTATGGGGTTTAAAACTTAATATAATTGTAACTAAAAATTTGTTCTGCAGATTTATCATATGAATAATTTAAGTTTACGCTTAATTTTGAGAAATTACCTCTAGTCTTAAACATATTTTGAACTGAATATTGCATAAAATCACTTCATGTAGTGATATTAGCCGGAAATATTTTTTCTCAAAGGACAAAAGAAAAAAAAAACATAAGTTATTGGAGACTGATTGAGAGATTGAAATGATGATTCCCTAAACACGAGTGTTCAGAGTCAGACGGTCGCTAGAAAGGTTCACTTCGCAAAACTTGAAAATCTGGAAACACGGATCCATGCTTTCAGAAAGCTGATCGCTACTTCGCTCCATAATGTTTCTTTAATAAATAAGTGTAATTTGTGTAAACAAACCATTTATATATCACAATGAAGAAATTATGTCTACGTGTACATAAAAGCATCATTACAAGACATAATGACGTGCACAGCGACCTAGGGGTTAGGTCGAAATCCGAAGTCGAATTAAGTTCTATTCACTTTTATACATACTCAATAATCTGTTAAATGACAAACTATTAAGGTATCAATATTGGTTAGAGGTTATATAATCTTGGTTTATGTGATTAATATTGGTACAAGATGTAAAAAAAAATACAGTTACTTTAAAATGTAACTAACATCGACTAAATCGAATAACATAAAATTCTTTAAATTTGATCATCTTTTTCTCTATCCCCTTCAGCTCAACTAACATAAACCATCCATACTTAATCCCTACGAAAACGTCTTCTTTTAAATGCGTAGAATATTATTAGAAAAACTTTAATAAAGTTTCATCTGAATTCTTTATATGGTTAAGATTAAAGTTCTGATTCATCTGATTTTTATTGTTGTAAGGTTTGACTGTTCCCACACATTGTAGTTTCATCTGAAATCATTTTATATGATTTTTTGGTTAAAGGGCTTTCATATCATTTTATATGGTTTAACCTCCATTATCTTGCACATTGGTGTCAGTCTGTCACTATGATTTTAGCTAGTCACTCGTTAAGGCTTTTGTAGATTCTGGAGTGTATAAAATCGAATTGTTAGATTAGATAGATAATATACACGAAAAAAAATTCTAGAGAGTATTCTCATACAAGAACTAAGGGACACTCGTGAACTATAAAAAAAAAAACAAATCCGAGGCAAAATTAATGAGAATAGGTATGGTATCACATTATAGTAAATATAATAATCATATAAGGCTAGCACAATGTTATTTATATAATCATCTCTAAAAGGCAACTTAGGAGGAAGTGAAGGGACAAGAGAAAGCAAAGTTGTGGACTGCCTTTTGCATAGCTTTTGGCGTGTTTGATTTAGAGCGTGTGCATCAATTAAAACTTTGAAAGCCTTAAAATAAGATTACCTTGTCGCTATGTTTTCTCCTTATTTTTTGTTAGTGACTTATATATAAAACAAAAATAACAAGACAATGAAAAAGGAACTCTTTGTACTGTGGCTTCTCTTTAATTTCTGTTGTGTTGTGTTCCTTTATTGGTTTGGCTTATTTTTTTGGTTCGTAGTGCTTGTTCGGTCTTGTATAGGTAGGTATTGATCATTCTCGTAAGGGTTGTTTGGCTTATGGTTTTTGTTTACTTCATCCTTTGCTCGGATTAATGTGGATGTTTGTTTTGGTACTCTTTGTACTGAAGTATATATGTTGAACGAAAATCCTTTGATGACAAGAAAAAAAAGTAACACTTAGGGCATCATGCGGCACACGTCAGTGACATACTCATTCTGATTGTTCACCGGAGGTCTCCACATACTCATTCTTATGGTTTTTACAGGTGAGGGAGAACGAATATTGCTACAAAGGACGGCCTCGCCTCAAAACCGCCTACCAACTTTTGTTGGTTAGCTTGGATCTCGAGAAAATCTTCACGAGGTTCTAATTTTTTATTTATAGTTATTGACATATATATTTAGTAATGCTTACAATACATCAATTTTTTTGACATAACTTGATAATTATTCACTTGATTATCGCTTTTGAACTAGGTATCAATTCCTTTCATTGTTCTTCACGGAGAAGATGATAAAGTGACAGACAAAAGCGTAAGCAAAATGCTATATGAAGTGGCTTCAAGTTCAAACAAAACAGTCAAGCTTTACCCTAACATGTGGCATGCTTTATTGTATGGAGAAACTCTTGAAAATGCAGAAATCCTCTTTAGTGATGTCATTAAGTGGCTGGTGGATAGAACCTCTGAATCTAATAGACGATTAGAGAGTGAGTTAAAACATAAGCATGATGAATTGTTGAAGCATGCATAAATAAGTATTGAGGAATACATGGTAACTTATGTAACTATATATTCATATATGTATTTTTCTCTCAAAAGGAAACATCCATATCTGTGCAGACAAACTTGCTAAATACGGTGAAACATTTTATATTTATTGATAATCTCATAAGTCTGCAACATGAAAAATTGTCAACAAAACCTCAAATAGGCATATTTGTAGATAGCACAGTTTTTTTTTTTTTGAGAATTAGATAACACATCACAGTTGAATGTAAATGATATATCAGATTTTTGTTATATGCATACAATTATCTTATTTTATTGACTTTTGGACTGGAAACTCAGTAAATGTATAAAAGAAAATCAAGCCTTAGTTTTAAAACCATTAGCTAATTGAAAAAGTCTCTAGCAACCAAAATTTATATTTGACATTACATCTATATTTTTTTGGTTCTTAAGTGTTTTGAGATCTCAAAGATTTGTTATTTACATATAATAATTAACCTATGTTAGTGATTTTTGGGCTGAAAACACAATAAATGCATGGAGGAAATTCAATGCCCGTAGTTTTGAAACTATATGCAAAATCAGAAATCTTTAACAGATTGCACTATATCTGACCTTACATATAGTATATAATTTGTTCTTAAGTATTTTAAAATGAATTTACAGTCAAAAACATTTCGTTAGACATCATGACTATACTAAGAACATTAAATTCAAAAAGGAAACACTAAGCAATTAACAATTTTGGACAGATGGTGATCAATCTTAGTTATACGAAGTTACTAACAGTAAAAACTAAACAGTCCCATTAACATTATATAGGTGGATTTGTGTAGGTTTAGTATTTTGTTAGGTAAGAACGTTAACAACTTTTCGTCAAATGGATCAATCATTTATTCATATCATGACCTAATGTAATGGCTATTTTCCAAGTATAAATCCAAAGTCAAAACTATGTTAATGGTATTTTGTTTCCTTGATAACATGCATCATACAATAGATACTCTAAACAAAGGGTTTTAATCTTTACAAATTAAAAATGATCATCAGCCTATAATTTTGATACTATAGTCAAATTCACACACACTAATCAACAGAGGATTTATAGGAAATGTCTCATTAGAGAAATAATAATTACGACAGGACATTTGAACCTCTGAAAATTAAATATAATAATACGTAGATAATGTCATAAATTGCTGACGCATAGAATTTCACATTTCAAGAAAACACAAAGAAAGTATGTACGTAGGGTACAATAACAGTGTATAAGTTCGATTCTTGTGAACAATGTAGGATTCTGTTAACAGAGGATAACTACTATTACGATAGCATATGGTACAAGAACAGAGTACTATTACCACTCTGTTTCGATTCACATTCCAAAAACCAGAGAAAGTATGAAAGGGTATACAATAACAGAGTATCCACTGAAGATTTCTTGATTAAACAGTTAAAGATTTAGAATCATCCCAATCCAAGAAGAATTTCAGCAAGATCAGACTACTATTACGACTCTGAACGTACCTTGGTTAACAAATGCAAACTCCTGGAGATTTCGATTTCGAGACGGCATGGTTTTATGACTTGTGAGGGAGAGAAAGTGGAAGAGAAAGCGAGAGAAAGTCGAAGTTTTGTTTTCGCCTAAATTGAAACTTGAGAGGGAAAAAGAAACATATTGATCGCTAATAACTACTTCTTGCTTGCTTATCACGGTAGCTTTTGGGTTCTTATTTAGGGTTTTGTTTTACTCTGTTAAAATTCAAATAAAAACATACTTGTATATTTGATCCTTAACAAAAAAAAAACATACTTGTATTTTTTGTTCGTAATTCCTTTAATCGTCTAAATGTAATACATTATTTGTTTACTGGATTACCTTTCAAAGTCTTCAAAAATAATAAAGGCTTTTTCCATATTCACAAAAACGAATTACAAACACATTTGGTCCCTCTTCTATCAAGTAACATACATATATAGACCTTTTTTTGTCATATATAGACCTAAAATGTCATATACCTGAGGTTATGTTTGGCAAAAATATGACGATGTGAGACATGCTTCAATCATCTTCGTTGGTCTCAAAAGATGTGATGAACTTCATTTTGGCATTATTTTTTTTTGCCATCAGACTACACAACAAGCATTAGTTTTTTCATCATGTACGCGTAAAGAAATCATTGACATCTAGGTATCGATCTCCATGAGCAACTGCATCTTCAGGTTCTGGCATGAAGAGACTCGTTGATGACGCCTGCACAAGGAAATAACACAAGCTAAGACCTCATCGGCTCATCCATATCTTCAGAATAAGGAAGGCTTAAGACATACCTTGGTATCAAGAAGCATATCTCCATTACTGTCAGCTATGAGGCTAGCACCATGGGCTTTTAGCCATTCAGAACACTCCTCCATACCATCGGTCTCCTTTTCACCTTCGCTTGAAGTACAAGCAAAGCCCAACACTTGGGCCAAGTATGAAACCGGGATTGTTGGACGACAGCTCCGTGACATAAATGTCACAGCCTTATAACGCATCTTCTCCACATACAGATCTGCAAACAAAACATGAAATTATATAAATATCCAATTGTTTCAAACATATCAAAATAGTTTTCATAGGTGATGTGTCCACCCACCCATGAGGCAACTGTTCATGTTTGGCGCAGTTTTGTAGAGTCTGAAAAACGTAACATAATTTCCTGATGTAACAGCTGCACGAACTGAGATAGCATGTCTAACTGCTTCATCCTTCTTAGCTTCTCTGGATAACCTACAATACAAATTTAGATATCACATAATTACTCTATCTTATGCGTATAAACCCAATATCTTCACATAGGTACGTGGAGATGTACGAGAAAAAACATAACTATCAAACAGTTTGAGTGAACATTCGCAAAAAGAAATCTAAAAGCACTAACCTGGACATAGATGATAACAGTTCTCGGTTGTTGTTGGAGTGTAAGGTAATATAGAGCAGACTGTACGCAGCAAATTCCAGAGTGCATCCTTCTATACCTTCGGCATAAACGATTTTTAACTGTGACAAGCACTGTAACAACAACAACAAAAACCAGTTCAGCAAGACTATATTTACCGTGAGAGTTATGTTAATTCTCCTCATGAATATACAATAGATGCATCCTACAAGACTTGATTCTTTTAAAGGTTAGAGCACTTTAGATTAGGAGAAAAGATAAAATTGGTTTCAATACCGAATCAGACCTAAACAAATCTGAATGGTTACTATTCTGCAATATGGACAATCTAGGCTAGCGTACGAACCTGATTATACTCAGTTAGATCCCCAGCTTCCAAAGCAAATCTAGCATGTGTTTCATAGACCTGAAATAGACATTCAAATATGGAAACATCATAAACATGCTCATGATGTGAGACATGCAAGAATGCTCAGCATAATTTGGAACTCAATAGTATACCTTGGCTGTTAGATGATTGTGTATCCGCTGTACTGTGAGGTCTTGGCGAATAGATTTTAGCTGATCACATTTATAAAGATAATTCTTTGGAGAATCCTGAACCATTAACAGAGCTTTTTCCAGCACATCCTCTGGTCTTACCTGCAAAAACAGTGTGTTTACAAATAAGTCAATATCAAAAAGATTACTAGGTTATGATAGTGATACGTACGGAGGAAGGATCCGGTGCAGAAGTAAGACGGAGATAACGTTTCTCAATTTCCTGGCAAGTTCCTTTAACAGTTAGTGCATCCCAGTCCATGTCTTCCACAGCTCTGCTGCCACTTTCATCAAAATCTTCGCCAAGTCTCAGTGCATTACCCCTTCTAACATTTGCATTCTTAGGTTTAGGAATATCATTCCTTTGGCTGTGCCCTTGAACTTTCTCAAAACGCTTGGAACGACTATCACGCCGCTTCTTTTCATCGGCAGAACTAGCAAGTGACATTGCGCTTGAATAGTAAGGTGTCAGTTCCTTCTCACTATCACTAGATTCCTCATCATCAATAGCACCACCAGTAAAACGCTGTCGCTTGACAGGCCGCTGGAAACTCTTTTTCGCAGAATTTGGCGCAGAGTAAATGGGCTTGGAGCCAGTGACAGCATCCACCTTTTGATAACTCTCAGAGCTCTGCAAATTATTATTTTTATCAGAACCATTCAGAGAATGCCTAACAATAGCAGCAGCATTGCTTCAAAAATAACAAGGGAAGAATGTTAACCTTTTTGTTATTTACATTGTGGTGATTCCAACCTCCGAACTTAACACCACTGCTGAAAGTTGAAGCTGGCTTCACAAATGGTTTTGATTCCACTAACGGCTCCCATCTACTTTTGGGTCGTCTTGTTGGACTCTTATTTTGTAACGAAGATATAGGAGCGGAGCTAGGCCTGCAGTAAAGCGTAAAGCTTAATAGCAAATCATATGGAGAAAATGTTCCAAACATATAACAAAGAAGAACAAAGATCATGCAGGCTGGAGGTAAGGAAGGAAAGCAGGGCCATACTCGGTGTTAGTCACATCTGTGTTCAGGACAGTTGAGAGCGGCTCAATATCCCAATCCCGAGTATTAATAGTACCATCATTTGTAGCTTCGGTGATGATCTAGAAATACAAAAAAAAAAAAAAAGCATCAGCAAAGCAACCCAAAATTAACATAGTATTCTAATAAGTGCAAAGTGATTTCTTCTTGTTCATGAACACATCTTAACCATACTATAAATAAAGTCGAAGTTCATTCAAATATGACATTAGCATAAGACAAGCACAATGAATGACTAGAAATTATGCTAAAATTCCTACTAACATTTACCTTCTTCAGGGAAGCTTGGCAAGATGCCTTTTCTTTATCATCTTTGCAACGTGCAAAAGCTCTCTCCACAAACCCACAGAGCGATTTAGGGAAGGTTCCAGGCTACAAATACATGATTGTTTGTTTCCAATGTTAATTATAAAAGAGACTACTTACTCAATACACCAATTTACAGTGACAACTTTTAATATCTGCTTCACCTGGTAGGTATTCAAAGTTCCAGAAAT